GATATGGAAAATAAAGTCAAATCCTTCCACTTTTCCACAATTTCCATCGATCTTTCGAAAATTAGCGGAATCGCAATTACATCCTTATCGTCGCAAACGGGAATTCCATTCCCCGGCACGGTTTCCACGGATTCATCGAGTTCGATGCAAATAAGGGGCCGGCCGTGGCCCCGGAAGCGCGATAAAATAATTCGGTTGCATAGTGGCGGCGCGTAATATCGGCGTACACGTTACGATTAGTTTAACCACGTGTGCTCTCGAGCATTCGTGAATTCGAAGACTCGTTATCGATCGTGGCCAACCAGCAAGGGGGCAGCGTCGATCGTTTTCGTGTCATCGACACACGGCCCTGGAAAATGCAGATGGATGCGACTGGCCTCGGCCGATAATCGGTATCGATCCACTTTTCGCTTCGATCGGTTCTCCTCTAATTCGATGGCGGTTCGAGCTTCGTTACGTTCGGTATCACACCGATATTTGCCCGTAATTTCCGGATATTTTTATTGGAAGGGGAGGAATGAAACAAGGGGAGAACAATCGTCCACGATCGATTTTTCATTTGTTTGATGATGTTTCGATAACGTTTACGTATTATTTTTATATATCGTGAAACGAATGGGTTTCAATTCATCCCCTCTCTTAAATTTTCAATTTAAATATTTTAACGAACGAGTGATACGAGATTATTATTATTAGATATTTCAGATATTTTAGAACGAGATAGTTATTGTGATTACCGTTATGATTGAATTTGGAAATAGTGTGAAATTTGTAAATAGAGAAAATTAAGCTTTCGATTACTATATACCAAATTTCTATTTTAAATTCCAATATTTTGAGATACGATGGAAAGGCGATTCGACGATATTTATAAATCATGATACGAGGCGTTATCATTATCGGTCGGAATTGCAAATTGAATTCAGTAGTTAACGAGAGAATCGATTCGTCCAATCTTTGTTTTAAATATTTCAATATTTATCGATCGACTAGATAGATTTTTATCCAATTTCTTCGTTTTAAATTTCATTATTTTCAGATACGATAATGATGATTCGACGACGTTTACGCAATTACACGATTAAATTGGAAACGGACGTGAAATTCGTAAATAGAAGATTTAGTTATTGAACAAACATATTCACCTCGATTTTAAATTTCAATATTTTCACACACGATTCAACCTCCACTTCGAATCGAATTATCATCCAGACACCTGTTTCTCACTGATAAACCCGACAAACCGACACGACGAGAAGAGGAACAGAGAGAGAAAGAGAGAGTGAGAACTGGGAGATTTATCCCCGAAGTTTAATCCAAACGATTTTTCACGAAAAAAAAAAAAAATCGAACTGGAGAGAAGCTTATCCAACCCTTTCCAGCCCTTCATTCTCGTCACGTTCGATCGAAGCTCTTTTCAAGATTTTCATTTCGACTTCGTTCCATTTTTATTTCGCTTCGTAATTCGTCTCGAGATCGATCGAATATTCTCCGTCCACTCGTTATTTTCTTCTTTCCCCCTCCTTTCGGGCCGCTTCATTATTCGTCCGAGCGGCATCAGTTTCTCCCTTCCAAAATCCTATTGGGACGATCGTGTTACCTCGTCCCATTTCGTTATCCTCGAACCGCGTTTCCAACTTTATCCACCAATGGTGAAACAATATTCGAGGCTGGAATAATAGTCGTCGAGCAACGAACGTTTTGTGCCTTGTCTTGTCTTCCCGAGGTGGAAGGGGTATGGAGGAATATCGAGGAATTTCCCCCCTCTCCCCCGCCACTCTTATTCCCTCTCATGTTATTCGTGAATATTTTTGCCGTTGCGAATGTTTATCCTTCGAATATTTTAAATTGTATCGAAGTTTGTGTTGTATCGAAAAGAAGGGAGGGGAAAGTATAATCAGAGACACAACGTTTCCTCGCAATTTTGCAATTTCTGTTGGGCAATAGCTTAAAGTATTACGGCACAAAGTTATGGAGGAATTTCATTGAAAGTCTTGAAGTGCATTAAAATTGTAGAATTCGCAAGAATGGGTCGAGTCATAATTTGCAGAACTTATTAATCCGCAAAAGTTTCAGCGCGATAAATTTCTCGAGTCTTAATTCGAGACGAACTCGAATTAAACGAACTCGTCGAGTTTCTTTACCTCTTTTTTTTTTATCTCCGATTTTAACAATAGAATCGTTATAATATCATTTTATTTCTCGTGAGAATGATCGGGGAGAAAAAAACGAATTCTTTCGAAAAATTCAAAGAAAACGGAAATATAATTTTCGACTCGAATGTTTCTAAATTGTCTCAAACGCAAAAAGATAACAAATTCTTCGGTAAAGTAAATCAAAGAAAACAGAGAGTAAAATAACAATTCCAAATATAATAAAATTCTCTTATTTGATGAACTATATAATTTTTCAAATCTCTCTTCGAATTATACGAGACCTTAATTCGAATTTTTAAACTACTTCGAACACGATTAATCTAATCGAAATAATAATTAATTCAAAGAGTTACAATTTTAAATATAATAAAATTCTCTTATTTGATGAACTATATAATTTTTCAAATCTTTCTTCGAATTATACGAGACCTTAATTCGAATTTTTAAACTACTTCGAACACGATTAATCTAATCGAAATAATAATTAATTCAAAGAGTTACAATTTTAAATATAATAAAATTTTCTTATTCGATAAACTATATAATTTTTCAAATCGTCCTTCGAATTATACGAGATCCCACCAACCCGAACGTTTTTAAATTATTTCGAACACGATTAATCTAAAACAATTTTAAATATAATAAAATTCTCTTATCCTCTTATAAAATATATAATTTTTCAAATCATCCCTCCTTTTTAGGGCTTTTAGTTGTACAGGATTCCAAATTAATTTCTTCAAACCGGTTCAAACGCGACTAATCTAATCGAAATAACTGGAAATTTCCCAATATCCCTCCATTATCGTCGAGTAAGTCGAACGGTTACGTTAATAGCCGCGGCCTTGTCTTATCAGCCGGCCATTGTTCGCCGGCCAATTAAATCGAACGGAGGCTGGCTGTCTCGCGATTGTAACGCGCGGAATCGGCCCTTCGTCGAGGATTTCCGTTCAAACATCCTCGAGGAGTAAATCAACTCGTGAACGCGCGCGCGCGCGATTAGCTGGCAAGGGAATTAATTCGATTAGACGAGGCCTGATTTGACTGATTCCTCGGACTAATTTATCTCACGCTCCTTTCTTATTCGATAAACTATATAATTTTTCAAATCGTCCTTCGAATTATACGAGATCCCACCAACCCGAACGTTTTTAAATTATTTCGAACACGATTAATCTAAAACAATTTTAAATATAATAAAATTCTCTTATCCTCTTATAAAATATATAATTTTTCAAATCATCCCTCCTTTTTAGGGCTTTTAGTTGTACAGGATTCCAAATTAATTTCTTCAAACCGGTTCAAACGCGACTAATCTAATCGAAATAACTGGAAATTTCCCAATATCCCTCCATTATCGTCGAGTAAGTCGAACGGTTACGTTAATAGCCGCGGCCTTGTCTTATCAGCCGGCCATTGTTCGCCGGCCAATTAAATCGAACGGAGGCTGGCTGTCTCGCGATTGTAACGCGCGGAATCGGCCCTTCGTCGAGGATTTCCGTTCAAACATCCTCGAGGAGTAAATCAACTCGTGAACGCGCGCGCGCGCGATTAGCTGGCAAGGGAATTAATTCGATTAGACGAGGCCTGATTTGACTGATTCCTCGGACTAATTTATCTCACGCTCCTCTCTTCGTCCCATCTCAACGTCATCGAGATAGATCGTGGATGGTGACTAACGTCTGAGATACTGAGGCTGGGCTTGTCGAGACTCGATCCATCCGACAGGAAATTTGTTATACGTCCTGTAATATTCACCGCGATGGATATTTGCAAGAGGATTGGAAATGTCGGGGAAACGTATTATCGATGGAAATCTTATAGAGTTTCCTTCCTTAAGAATCGTTGATTAACATTTTCGAGATATTTTGAGGATTTTAATTCTCTCGTCGATATTCATTTCTCTTTTGTTTAAATATTCTATTGAAACTGATCAACGTTAATTAACATTTGCATTTGTTTAAAATAAAATTCGTTTCAGCTTGTTCAAGTGTATAATTTATAATTTTTAAGTGTAGCGTGAAGTTAAGTTGAGATGAAGATGCTTGTGGAGCGATCGAAGCGCCACTAGCGATCGCTCGTATAAATAAAAGAGAAGCTATCTTCTCGCAAAATTGTTGCATGTTCTGTAATATTTAACACGTTTCGATAGGATATTTACAAGGTTAAAAGTGTGTTGGAGATATAGTATGATGGTCAGATATGTTTGTGCAAGTAGTTTCATAAATATGTGGAAATTTGAGAACGAATTTATACAGTTTTTGACTCTTTGATGATCGTTAATTAGTATTTTTGAGATATTTTGATTTTTATATCTATATTTTAAATTCATTTTATTTTTAATATAATAGCGTTAGATTACATTTAAAATTAATTTAGTGGTTGCAATAGTGCGGAAGAAACGAAAAAGATCTTTCCCTCGGAAAATTTATTATACGTCCTGTAATATTCACTACGCTTGATATTTATATGAGGTTGGAGATGTGTTAGATTACGTAATATACTGGTTAAACGTATAGGGATGTATTATCGATGGAAATTTAAGTAAAGATTATGAGAATTTTATAGAGCTTGCAAGCTTCTTGGTAGTTAATTAGAAGATTAGATTAATCGAGAATTGTGGAACTTTTGGCTGATTATCTTCGCCCTATTTAGCACTTTGGGGATATTTTAATGCTATTCTAGTGTCGCTATTCTAAATCTTATTACCTTAGAATTGAGATTTATATACGTAATCTATAATCTCCTAGTATAAATTAGGTTAAAATTATCATAGAGAACGATCGGAACGCCATCAGTGGCCACTTAATTCACTCTTGCGTTATCCATCGTTCTATAAATGTCATAAATTGTTTTAATCATACATTTTTTTTTTAATCTACCATCTTTATACATTTTCACTGATTTGAAAGTTTCGAATCGAAAAATTTCAATCCTATCTTCCCTGATTGCAGGTACATTTACAGCAATTTGCACCAAGAATGGTGCGTAAATTTCACCAAACCCCTATCAATATTCCGTTGACATATTGGCCGAAAGAGAGAATCAAGTATTTCCCTAGCAAACTTAATTAATTGAAGTGAATACGCAATTTGGAAATTAATTAACATCAGAGAGGAATCGTACGTAGCTTCCACGATAAAAACGAGATTCTCATATTCACTGAGTGAAGTACTGTTTGTCAATATATTAGGCGTACTGCGTGAGGTTGAAAGGCAATGAGGTTTGCTTTATAATTAAAAATAATTACATCGTATTGTAAAATAGAATCCCTCTAATTTAAATATTCAAAGGAAAACTTCTAATAGTAGTGTTTTTTCCAGAATATTCATGCATCTTCTCTGCTATTCATACGCAATGTTATTATTGGTTGAGGTTAGGATAAAGATTAGAATATCGAAACGGGATTCTTTTGATTTGAAAGTTATAAATGCTGCAAAATTTTATCATTCTATTTCACTTCATCTTTGTCATTGTCCTCAGCCAATAATGACAATACATGTGATGGCAAGAAAGGTAGAATAAGTAAATACTCTAGCTAGTAATTTTCTAACAAAGGCACTGTGTATAGAGGGCACTACCATATTTGAATTTTGCTTATATGTTTATTCCTTACATACAAGAGAAATATTACAAATAAATTTTTCAAATATTTTCCAATCTTTGTATCGTAAATTAGTATTTTTCATTAAAATTCTCGTCTGAATTGCAGGAATTCGAAAAAATGGAGGTTAGACAGAGAGATAGAATACATGGATCGACAACCAGACCAATTTTCCAAATTTCATCCCCCCCTTTCATCCTTTGGTTGTCGCCTGATGGTATCTACCGATCGATGTTAATTAACATTTGTACGTCTGAATCGGAGACAAACGAGCAAGCACCACGAGAATGAATTCAATTAATTCTCGGACGTTGTCCGGTGTTAATTAATGAATCGGCCACGTGACGAATGGAAAATGCATTTAGAAGAAAGGAAAAATTCCGTGGAATAAGTGTGGACTAATGTTTTTCGATGTACGCACAATTTGACGGTGATAAATGAATCAATTGTAAATGAACATTAAGAATATTTAAAAATGTTTCTTGTTCTAAATATTGTTGTTTTGAAGCGAAAAAATTGAAAGGAAAATCGTAGAAAGCAGAGTAAGAGTTTCTAATTTTATTTTAATGTTAAAGAAGGCATAAAATTAAATAATCAGTACAAGATGCTGCAAAGATACTTTCATTATATTTCAATGTATCGAGTATAGTACAGATATCTGATCTTGTATAATAATTTTTCTATATTTTATTGTAGCAGTATTATCAAATTGAAGAATAACGAATGGAAGTTTCGTCACTTTTATCGATAATCGAGAAACAAGATTTCAATTATTCTACGATTCTTTTGTATTTTAAATTCCATCATCAAATAAATTTTTAATTCTAAAGAAGAATCAAGAATATAATTCAACGTGATCGTGACACGATACGAAGTAAACATCAAATGAGTAGATTTTCGACTTGAAAAAACAACCAAGGATAACAAAACGTAAGTGAGTTAACTCTTATAAATGGAAGCATTTGAAAGAGATCGAAAACAAAGATTATTGCAAATAATACCAAAATTAGAATAACGAAATATAATAAATAAACTGGTTTTCAGATTGGAAGAAATCGAAAACGAAGATAGTCCATTGGTGCGCGATGCTTGTGATAATTGGAGAAAAGAAGCGACAATAAAACGTGGATGAGTTGACTTTCGTGTTGGAAAAAAATCGATCGATCGGAAATTCCCGGAAGCGGAAACTCGTTCCACGCGCGAGCTCGCGGTACGGCTCGACAATTAACTCTCTGCCGGATTTTCCACCAATTTCCTGGCTGAATTAATCACCGCTGGCCGGTATCAACGCTCGAAATTTGGAGCGGCGCCGGTTAAACGCGATCCGGAGACGTAATTGCAACGAGCCGGATAGATTATGCGACTGTTCTGTACGCCGGCCACCTTTATTATGCCATTCCCTTCGTCTCTTTACATCGATTTTCTCCACTTTCCAACCCAATTAACCAAAAATTTCCTACGCCTCCCTTTTCTCCCTCTTTCCTTCTTTCTTATGGACTTTTCAGCAATTTTGAAAGGAACGAACGAAATGAACGCAGTGGAGGGCCTGACGAAGCTGTGTTCGATTCGAAATCGAAGAGCTTGTTGCGTCTCTCCTTGAGAAATTCTTGAAAAAGTTGGTAAAAGGTACGAAGTATTCTTAATCTCGAAAGTTTTGTCCAATCTCGTTATTAAACTTAAATTTTAATTTTTAGAAACAAGAGGATCCATCGATTTTTATCCGTCGAGTGAAAAAATGGATTCATCCTCGTGTCAAAAGAGCGATTCAATGTTTGGTGTAATTCACGTATATTTACCTTCGACTTCGTTCGACAAATCCACTTTTCTACAAATTTTAATTGTCTCCGGAAAGAAAAGAAAAACTAAAAACTTCTCACGAGTTGGAAAAAGTTTGTTCGATCCTCGAGAGATTCGATTCCTCTCGTTGAGCACCACCAGGTTTTCACGGGGGAAAAATCGGGAAATTACTCGAGAGTCCAGTGATTCTCGACCACCTTGGATCTTTAATTCCACTCCTGTTAATAATGCAAGTGTCGTAGTCGAACTTGGAATTTCATTATCTGGCGAGAGTACTTTGTTTCGTTGCGTGAAAACGAGAGAAAGGGCGGAAGAAAAATAAAAGATTGGAATTTAATCGGAATTCTTCGATCGTCGCGTGGAAAAATTGTGATTCTGAAGATTTTGCACTACGTTCAAATCTTCTTTCGATTATCGATAAAGCGGAAAAACGAAATTGTTATTCGTCGATTTGGTTGTATCATAGTTGGATAATTGTTATTTAAATTTATTCCTAATGGATACGAAATGTAATGTTTATATATTATCCATTCTAGCGATAGAAACAAATACAAAAGATATATTGGTATACAGAAATATCGTGAGGCTTGTTTATCAAATTAAGAAAAAAGTTTCATCATAGACATTTGTGTGTTCAATATTACCTCCAGATGAACTCCAAAAAGCTAGTTATTTATTCAAAAGATTGCAAGATATTTACTAAAACGTAAAATAAGTAGAGAATAATTAATTACACGATCCCGAAGAAAAAAAAATTGCAATAATAATTATCGATATTAAAGACCATTCCATAAATTTTCCATTCACCAATGGTATTTAAATTGTTAATTGATTAACAATTGTCACACGAGACTTTCGATAAATCTATTGCGAACTCGTCCAATTGGAAATTTAAATTATTCATAAAATGCAAATGGCATCAAGTTTCTTCGAGGCTCCCTCTATTGAGAACTTAAGCCGCGCGGGATCCAACGTGCGAGCTTAAGCGATCTGGGCGCCATTGTGCTGTTACGAATCCAACATGGCGTCGGTACATATATAACCTTGGCGTATTCCACGGGTTGTACCAGTGATGAACCAGGGTCCACTCCAGAACGGGAGTTACGACATCCGTAAACTATTCCTCGACTTAGTCATTATGGGGGGGCTAGATTATTCCAAGTTCTAAGCCGAGTTGAGTTCTAAATTCACGATGGCGATATTCCTCGACCATAACCCGGCATGTTTAACTTGCGATAAGCCTGCATTATGCCGAAGCAAAGTTGCTCTAAGCGCCATTATGCTTGGAATTTAGATTACAGCTCGACCAATTTAGGTTATGAACCAATTTACCAAAAATAACGGAGGATAAAAATTGTGGTGGATTTTTGGATTTTTTTTCCGAGATTCGAAAGAATTGGAAGAGAATTGGATGCGATCTTGCGAGATACTTTCAATTGAAAAGATCGAAATGAGAAATTTCAGAGGTTGTTTTGTAATACGAGAATATAAAAGCAGCAGAACTGAGCTAAATTGTTATGATTGGAGTTCGAATTGTAGAATGGCTGATTTAGAAAATGAATTTAATCAAACGTAATTTCTTGCATCATATTATATTTAATAAAAATTTCAGGGACGATAATTGTTTCCTTTAAAACTTTTTCTTTCGATCGAAGATTCGTCTTTATTCTTATCGAATAATTTTTATCGAATTTTTTATTGCAATCAAAAATTTTTCTACGAACACTAATCTTCGAAATTTTTTTCCATCATTACCATCAAAAATTCGATAAAATGACGCTTCCTTTCATTCGATTCCCCCATCCATTATTTTATCGAGAAAAAACAATTCATTCGCTCGTAGAAATTTATTCATTACCAAACTTATTCCGCCTTCCTGTCGATTCTCGCTAACTTTTCGCTAGACTCGAATTATCTATGTCTCTTCCGGTCGCGGACCTTTCTTCCCTTTCAGAGGACGTTAATAAAATTCCTGCAGTTTTCTCGCCGAACCAAGGGACAATTTACTCGGTTCTCTTGCCCCTGGCCTAATGGCTGTAATTAAAATCGAGGTTGTTTTAAGAGGCGGAGCCAGCTAGCCGGATTCCTTAGCCGCTCATAACCGGTGTAATATTTTGAACGGAGAAACGGCTGGGAGACTGAGAAAAATTACCTCGTTACTCAAGTCCAGGATATTCATCTTTAAGAGATGAGAGGAGGGAAGAATTAATTTACCTTTGACGATGGATATTTTTTTAAAAGCGTTATTCGAATACGGTGGAATATTGTTTGCTAATTGCGGAAAGTATATGGATACGAGTAAAGGAATAGAAAAATCAATCTCGTCTTGAAAATTAAATTATATTTGGTTATTGACATTTGCAACGTAAGAGATAATATTTGATCGAAATCGTATCGTAAAAAATTTGTTTATTTCGTTACTCGATCGAACATACTCTTTTGTATCTCATCAAATATCTTAAGAATTTCAGAGATGATAATTCATATAATATCCGGTAGGAAAATTTTAACTTTCGAAAATTTTTTGTTAAATCTTTTCGATCGAAATTTCGAAAGATTTCAAACTTGAAATTTTTTATATCTTGTTAAATATTCAAAAAATTTTAGATATTAATAATTATTCCTATAAAAAATTTTTTTACACGTTGCTAACGAAAGATTCGAAATATTTCTAACATGGACAAAATCTTTTCAAGAAAATTTCCCCGACAACACGCCTGATTCCATCGAATCAGCGATCGAAAAATCTTTTCTCACCCTGTATGTCCAAGGTGTCCAAGATGAGAAACTCGATCGATTGTGACGAAATTTCATCGCAAGAAAAGAAGAAACGAAGCGTGGACAAGGTTATCGGCCGGTTATCGCGTTTTCCACCAACGAATCGAATAAGAAAGGAAGGAAAATTGCTCCGTTTCGAGCTTCTGCTCGTTTTAAAATTCAATTCTCATCCTCGATATCTTCGAGGCAAAGTAGAGGCGACACAGGTCTCGTTTCGTCGAGGACGGACCTGAATATGAGCCGAGTCCATTGTTGCAGATTATTATGGAGGTTGCGCGCGCCATCTGGCTGCGGAATTTTAGTCAAGGTATGTCGTAAAGACAAGGTTGTTTGAGTTGAAGCTCATCATCGTGCTCGTAGACGATGAAATTCAAGTAGTCACGCTGTGTCTAAACGTTTCAGCCTGGAACCGTGATTACTTCCTCCAAGGATATTGTCAAGAGACTGGGACTCATGAAGATGATGGAATTTTTCTTCTTCTTTCTAATAATCAAAGAAGGGAAGATGTTGTACGTTTATGAGAGATTCTTAAATGTATGAATCGGTGGAATTGTATCGCATTTGGAGAATTTTGATAAAAATCCAAAATTATGAGAACAATTTTTTTTTATATCCAAGAGATGAATGAGCGAAATAAATAATTGAGAAAATTACGAATATTTAAGTGGATTTTAATGAAAATGTTCGGATTCGAAGTAACCGTATTTATTAATTTTTCATGAAAAATTAATAAAATAATATTTTCGATATTAGAACGTGATTATAACGAAACGATTTGAAAATTGTATTTTTTCGAGAAGTTAGAAGGATCAAATTCACTAAATTACGTATAAAATAAAAAAAGAAAAAAGTTGCAATTAGTCAATATTAAATATAAAGAAAATAAATAAAAAATTTTTAAATTTTATCAGATCAAAGTAAGGAAAAGTATATAAAAATTTATTTATTGTCGAAATTGTAATAAAAATACGTTCCAAGAAATAATAAATACAAATCTAAATTCAAAATAAAAAAAAGTCTAAATCTACTATAATCCAAAACAAAAAGAAAACGTAACATAACATTGGGTTTAGAGATTAATTCCTCGAAACCGAAATCGGATTATAATATTGTAATATCGTACGTTTCTACGTCCTTTTCAACGACCGACCGAATCGAAGAAACTTTTCCAGTACAAATCGAGCATCGCGAGAGAACGGTTCGATCAGTGCTTCTTCATAGATTAAATTTCCAAGTTTGCCAGCTTCGACGGATGAATGGCTTTTTTGGAGAGGGGGAGGGGGATGCATTATCCATTTTCGAGTAGATGGAAAGAGGGGGGGGGGGAGGGAGGTTAATGAATCTCGAGAGATGAATTGTTAACGATGTGACCTTCATGTATTTTGGGAGAATCATAATTGATATTTGAAATTTGAAAGCTTTCAACAAGTCGACAAGTAGCAAATCCTTCGCCTTGTTGCTCTTCAAATTGATTTTAGAATTCCATTTCTTCGCACCTCTTCGAAGCCAAACGCTTTTTCTACGCTCGATACAAAATTTCGCTCCTTTAACAAGATATAAGGAGCACAAATCCTTCGCCAGAAATTTGAGAAGAAGACGAAAAAGGAGAAGAGAAAAATCGATGGAGAGGAGACTCGAAAGAAGTCTTCTCGAAAATCTCTGGAGACACCGAATAAAATCGGCGAGAGAAGGAATGAAGAAATCCGTTGCCAAAATTCGACACGAAAAGAAAATCGGTAAAAGATTCGAAAATGATTTCAAAAATTAGCCCTACGAAGAGCGAATAATCGACAGAGGGATATGAAAATCAGCGACAAAAATGAGAAAAAAAAATAAACAAGTTGCGATTCCATTCCTAATTCGAGAAATCGAACAAAAAAGAAAATTCGAAAAAATCCTCGAGAATCCCTGTAAGCGAGGATAAAGAAATAAACGAGATTCGATAGATTCGATAAATCCAATAAAAAAGAAAAAAAAAAAAAAGAAAGAAAGAAAAATCCCCGAAAAATTCGAAAAACTTCTCGAGAATCCCTCGAAGCAGAATCAAGAGGTAAAAATCAGCGAAGAAAAAAAAAGAGAAAGAGAAAGACAGAGAAAAGACGAGGTCTGCTGACGGAACAATTTGATCGTTCCATCGGAGCGGAAGAGTGGGGATGGCGTGCAATCGATAGGTAACGCTCTCTCGCGAGTTCTCGATCATCTCGAGCAACCGCCTTGGGCCGGTTTTCATGTACGGGATACGATCGAGGTTTGCCGCGTTCCGGAAAAGCCAGCCAGCCTTCCAAGCAATTAGAGGAATTTTGCTGACTGGCAAAGTTATTATACAGAGGCCCGCGGGGACAATGGCTGCCTCCACTTCCGGGTGGAGGATCGCTGCCAGATTTCGCGGTGTTGTTTACGCTGTTAATCTTGAAACTTGACCCGGATATATACGGGTATGTATCGTCGTTGCTATCGTACGTGTTCTCTCGATGGCTGAGTGGATAACTTTGCCTGGGATGGAATCGTGTGGTATATAGTATTTTGAAGTATTTTACTTGATACGTATATATACATATACACATATATATGAGGATATCATGATATAATGTGATATGATATAGTAAAGTATTTTGGTATATCGATATTGTAAAGAACTGTGTGAAACAAAGTATGATATAGGTTTTGTACATAGTATGGTATAGTTTATGTATCGTAAGATACCGTGATGTGACACAATATGATATAACGAGTGCACTATTTTTTAGTATTGTATAGTGTGATGGGGAACGATATGATATAGTGAAGTGATATAAGTTTCGTGTAAATCGTTGTAAGATACGACTTAGGTAACATATCGTAAGGTATCGTTAGTGGTATAATATAATAGACCATAGTATTTTAAAATATTGCATGACACGATAGGAAACGGTATAATATTGCACGTTAAAATATCATATAACTATCGTAATATAACATGTATAATATAGTATATTATGACAGGATACGAAAATGTATCGTACAACGTAGAATGGTATGGCACGATGAGATTTTCTAAAAAATGAACTCTTCGATGAAATTCGCGTAATAGCGCATAACAACTATATGTTCTCTCGAGAAAACTTTCTAAAACTGAGAGAAAGATCTTAAACAAGATTGGCGCGTTCAAGTTTGGAGGGAAACTAATCCTGCCTAAAAGGAAAGAGAAAGAAACACGATTGTCTCATCGAACACGAGATAGAAGTTTATCCATCGAGTTGCGTCGTAACGAAGTCAAGGTGGAAAGAGAAATTGGACATCGGTTTTCCGCGACTTTTCTCCTGGAAAATCGAAGTTTGCTGACTCGGCCGAGACTTTGGAGGCATTGATTCGGAACAATGGTAAGTTCGTACCAGGATTTAATTGAATAGAAATCAGACCATCGATCAGATGGTCTGCGGAGGCGTCGTTCAACCGTTTCTCGGTTGCGTTTACCTGCGGAAAACGCTCGATTTACCGACCGAGCCCGATTTTTCATCCGTTCGTGCCGCGGTTAATTAACCTTATCAATCACCGAGGAAAAAATCCGTTCCAGTTTCGAGGAATTGCAAATCATTTTTTAAGGCTTGATTACGAAACGTTCACTTTAATTTATATATGATACGCGAATAGGAAAAAGGGAAATTCGAGGGAAAAAATAAAAAAGCTTTTCTGCCATTTCAAGACGAAAATATTAGATTAGATTAGATTAGATTAAGTTTTGCATTAATTAAATTTCATTTTT